AGGAGGGAGGGAGAGAAAAAGGGGCAGTCCTGGGGATATGACACACTGGGGCTTTAGGGTAAGTTTTTTTTTTCTTGTAATTTAGTAAACTTCTCAGTAGTGCTTAAGGAACTCTGGTGGCCTAGTGCATTATGTGTTATGTTGTTAACTGGAAGGTCAGTGGTTGTAATCCACCAGTTGCTACTAAGAATAATGAGTAGTCTCGTTAGAAACCCAGCAGATGGTTGCTTTGATTTGGGGATTGACCCAGTGACAGTGGGTTTGGTTTTGGGGTTCAGAGTGCTTGCTATGGGCCAAGTTCTGTTCCCATCAATGCCTGTATATTTTCCCACTTTAGCCTCACAGCAGTCCTGTGAGAGAGGGTTACCCACATTTCCTCGGTTATATAATCTACCCACAGTTCCAGTTAGTAAATGAAGGCAGATTTGAACACAGGAACTCTGGTTGTAGCCCAGCTCTTAGGGGGCAAAGGGCACTGTACAGCTCTCTCCCTCTCCCATCACCCCAGATCAAAATGGACTCGCAGATGACGAAGCAGGCCCTGAACGAGATCGAGACGCGGCACAACGAGATCATCAAACTGGAAACCAGCATCCGCGAGCTGCATGACATGTTCGTGGACATGGCCATGCTCGTGGAGAGCCAGGTGCGGGCTCCGTGGTGCCACCCCGCAGCCTTCTCAGGCCCTCCCTGTCCCCAGGGCCCCTCTGCCAGCCCAGGCCCCAGTGCCCATGGGCCACCTCCTCTGTCTGCAGGGGGAGATGATTGACCGGATTGAGTACAACGTGGAGCACTCTGTGGACTACGTGGAGCGGGCTGTGTCCGACACCAAGAAAGCTGTGAAATATCAGAGCAAGGCCCGGAGGGTGAGCCAGGGTGGGCAGCCCGGAGGGGCCTGTGCTCTGGGAGCCCAGTGGGCGGGGTGGGACCCGGGTTTGGGCTCTGAGGTGAGTGATGAAATCAGGTGAGGGCCCTTATCTCTGGCTCTGACCTCTTCCTGTTTCTGTTTTCTCTCTTCCCTCCTCTTCCTCAAACCCTTCTCCCTATCTTTCCTCCCCATCTGTCTATCTGTCTGTCTGTGTGTCTCTATCTATTGCTCTGGCTCTCTCCTCCTTCTTCCCCCTTCCCTTGCCGGCCTGCAGAAGAAAATCATGATCATCATTTGCTGTGTGGTGCTGGGAGTGGTCTTGGCGTCGTCCATTGGGGGGACGCTGGGCTTGTAGACCCCCCACCCCCATTTCTCTCAGACCCCTCCCTCACCACATCGGGAGCAATACCCCCACCATCCCTTTGACTCCATCCCCTGCTCCAGGCTCAGCCCTAAGACAGACCCAGGCAGCCCCACCTCTTCCTTCACCTCCACGTCAGACTCGGGGTTCCTGGCCCTCACCCTGACATGGGCCACTCCTCTCCCACCCCCGCACGTAGATAGCAGCAGGCGTGTTTACACATGCACACCAACATGCATGCCGCCAGCACATGCTTGAGACGTGTGGACCCCCCTTCCCCAGCGTGTGCGTTGTCCCTCCTGCCCCACCCCAAGTCTGTGTGTGGCCTGATTCCCCCCATTCACCGGGGTGTTGTGTAGACTGTGGTCGAGTATAACACAGCAGCCCGCCAAGTCCCGTTCTGTCTTCTGTGTGTGTGTATGTGTGTGTCCACAGATCCATGGACGTAGCATTTGTGTGTATGGAACTTGGTGTTTGAGTGTTTGAATCTTAATAGACAGGCACTTCCCTCACCAACCCGCTCCCCCCTCCCGTCACCTGTGTCTGCAGGGCAGGTTGTGTCTGGAGATGCTCACTCACATTCCTGTTCTCAGAGGAGCCAGTTTGCCCGAGTGGTGGGCACCCAGGGTGGTGGGGGAAGGACCCTCCTGAGCTGTTGTGTCCCAGGAAAAGAGAGAGAAAGAGAGAGTGTGTGTGTGTGTGTATGTGTGTGTGTGTGTGTGTGTGTGTGTGCGCGCACGTGTGTTGCAAGCCTAGGACACTCAGTCAAAGCAGATGGACGCATACATGCGTAACTAACCTAGCTTAGCCTGTATACATAGATATATATTTGTGCATTTTCCCCAGCAGGTAGCAGAAACTGGTGTAAGGGACAATTGTCCCAGGAGGTCCTTTGGTGTCAGTAGTCTTCTCCCCTTCATTTGTGTCCTGGACACCTGTTTTGAATGAGCACAGGAATCTATCTTTCTGTGCTGTCTGAAATACACCCGTGTAAGAGTGTGTGTGTGTGTGCGCGCGCGCGCGTGTGCGCAGGACTTTAATAGTGACTGCACACACTGTTCATCTCTGAGGATATGTTGGGAGAGCTGTCTTTGTTTGTATGGTGGTGAAGCCATGCACTACTCCATTGGTGTTGAGCTCCTGCCCTGTGGGGTCCAGGGGCTCTTGCACCCATGGCAGGGTCTGTCTTCCTGTGGAGAGGCCGGTGCCCTGCCAGCTGGGACACTGGAGTGCACGTGCCAAGGCTGAGGAAGACCTGAGATGATCTTACCCCAGGAACCCACAGGCAGGCTGGAATATGTGAGCATGTAACATCGGCATGGTGGGCACATAAATGTCCGCAGGAGGGGCTTTTTTGGGAAATGTCTGTGATGAGGTGAGGAGTGCAAGGCCCCTCCTTACCTGTGCCCCATCCCACACTTACCTGGAGAGAGAAAGTCCCCACTGTTCCAATTTTGGGCTCATCTCAGAGACCTCGGGTCTGGAGAACTCTTTTATTTCAGACATACTAGCTGGCCAGAGTGGGCTAAGCCCATCCCCTGGACATTTCTCCTGCTAACTTATAATAGTTACTTCCTCCCCCCACCCCCCACAGTAAGGCCGAGGGCGTTCCTCAGGCCTGGGTTTCTGACCATGAGGAAAGGGCTCATTTTTCCCTTCCTGTGTCATGACAGATGCACAGGCTCACCGATTCTTCCCACCCGGTGAGTTTGTGTTGTAGTGACAGGAAGGAGGCACACAAGGCAGAGGACAGTGTCCAAAGCCGTCCACGTCCGGGTCCAACACAAATATGTGAATGTGACAAACGTTCCCTGTCCTGGGCAGAAGGTGAGGGAGTCAGTGTGTGCATGGATTTTCCAGGATCCCATATGAGGGGGTGTGTGTGTGTGTGTGTACAGATAGAATATCCCAGAACACAGTGTGTCCCACCCTCATCCAGGCTCAGACAGACCACCTCCTCCTTCCTCTGTCCCACCTCTGGCCTGTATGAGTATCAGCGTGGCCACACGTGTGCAACACCATTCCCAGAATGCTCTTCTGAAGACAGGAAGTTTGCCCTGGTGTCAGGCTGCCAGTCCCCTGCTCCCATTCTCAGGCTCCTTGGGGGACAGCAGCATGAGCCCCAGCCACGCCCACCCTCTTCCTTCCTGCCCCTCCCGTCAGGATGTCCTTTCGGCCCAGGTGTTTCCAGAGGTTCCACAGCCTTGGGGCCACAGGGATCATGGCGGAGCTGTGCTGGAAGAAGCTACAGCCTCCTTGAGTAGTGTTAGGCCCACAGCTCCCCATCTCCAGGCCTCAGGTGGACCAGGGGACCCTGTGGATCAACTCTGCCCATATATTCTGCGAGTCCTACACATCACATGATGCGTTTTCTCGTTGGCTGCTGTGTGTCTGTGTGTGTGGTCTCAGGGCTGGGTTTTATTTTGCATGTTTTCAGACACGTGTGTGCTGTCTACCCTCCCCATGCCTATGACCATTGAGTCCATGTGTGCCCATGGGTGGTCCTGGGCCTGGCCAGAGCTTTGTGTCCCCCTCTTCCCATTGTCCCAGCCCTGTGTCTCACAAAGCACACTGCGTGTCCACCCCATGTGTCCGTGGGTTGATGCACGCTCTTGCCACGCCTTGAGCGTGTAAGTATGATGTGTTCTATGCATTTACCCCGCCTCCCTCCAGCCCACCCCACAGAGGACAACATGGGTGGCCCCTGCTCCCTTCTCTCCTGCTCACCCCCTCTCCTGCTGTGCAGCTGTGTGCATTGGCGTGTGTTTCCGTGTCGCTGGCGTGTCACGTGATGTAGCCGTGTTTGCTGACATGAGCCCCCATCCCCTCCTCCGTTTCTCCGTTGGTTTCTAGAGCTATCTCCCTCCCTTCTCTAGAAGGGACAGGACTCCTGGGGCCTGGCTGGGGGCCCAGGGCCAGGCCACCCTCTCCTGTGAGCCTTCAGAGTCCCATTTCTCTCTATTGGTGACCAAGTTGCAAACGGATAAAACACAGGACAATTCTGCCTCCCTCCCTCCCAGCCCTGCATGTCCTGTCCCCAGAGCCCCTGACCCCCACCCTGGGCCAGGTTGGGCCCCGCGGGATGGGAGAAATAGCAAACAATCCAACAGCGGGTTTGCCGTGTGCTCACATCCTTCTGTCCCCACCTGGGACGGGGCGCCGCAGGGAGGGGCGGATGCCGTGGGCAGTGGGTCAGAGGGGGTGCTGGGCAGTCAGATAGAAACAGGCTTGGAAAGGGCTTTAATGCAGAGCTGGACCAGGTACAGCATGAATGGGCATCTGCAGAAAACCCCTGACACCATTAGAGGAACGGCCTCTGAAGACATGAAGACAACACTGATTTCTTCAGATCTCTCAGGGAGGGCAATGAAAAGATAAATGGATGAACGTGATACATTTTCCCAAAGACTGTGGCTGTGACCTCACCTTCTATCTGAGGGGGGACGGCGGTGAGAAGGGCCAGAGAGAAGTAGCTCCACTCTGAATTTTGGCCCATGTGTCGTGCTGGATGCTAGGGGGCCAGCACATGTCTTTAGACATGCTTGCTTCTCATATGAAAAGTCAGAAATGGGCCAGGGCAGCTCTGAGAACTCCAGGTGAGCCAGATTCTTGTCACCCAGCCCCCAGGCTAGGTTGATGTGAAGACACCCTGCTCTAGAAGTTGGACACATTGGGCCATGGTCTCCAGGCGCCTATATTTAAAAGGTAGAGAGTGAAGTCCTAGCCTTCAGCTCTATAGAATGTAATCCCTCCCATCGCATGTTTAGAGCCTTAGGACCCAGATGGATGAGCCAAGCCCTCCGTGGCCTGCACCCAGCGAATGGTGCGGCTCCGGCTGTCTTCCCATGAGAACAGGGGCTCATAGCCAAAATGACGCTGGGCCTTGTTGGTGCTGACGGTGAAGGTGGTATTGGCCACAGCCAGTGTGTAAGGGTTGAGTAAGGGCGCGTAGAGCATCAGGGGCCGCAGCAGCCACTGCAGCAGGGCATTGAGGGTAGCCAGGAACACTAGCAGACAGTAGGGCACCAGGGGGCGAGTGCCCACCAGTTTCAGTCCACAGGGGCCCAAGAACTCCATGTTGAAGTCCTCATAGCTCTTGTAGGGGGATTCGTCATAGCAGAAGTACACCTGGCGGCCCATTAATGCCTCCTTTTGCTGCAGCTCCTGGGCTGCCAGCACATGCATCCAAGCCACATTGCCTGCAGTGGGAGAAAGACATAGCCCTTAGTGCCCCGAAGACCATGTGGACGTAGTTTCCTCTTGTGCCCATGTACGTGCCACCTCTTCCTCGGGGCCATATAGATGCTGCTCATGTAGCTTCAGCGCTGGTAAAGGCTGCTCCTTCCCCTGCCCCTGTTGTCACTTGCCCTCTTGGGCCAGCCTGTGTGAATGTTAACCCTTCGGGGCCTCCATGACGCCAGTTCTCCCTAAAGTCTACGATACACTTCCTCAGTCAGCCTCCCCACAGCACAGCCATGTTTCCTCACGGTGTCTAAGCCGGGCTTTGTATAGCCACTGCCGTCAAGTCGGTTTGGACTCTTGGTGACCCTCCATTGTGTTTGAGGAGATTGGCTATGCTCTTCAGGCCACACGGCCCACCCCCCCAGAACAGATCCTCCCGCTCTGTCTTTGACCCCTGCCACCGAGACTAGGCCTCACCCACATAGACCCGACCATGCTCCACTGAGGCCGGAACAGCCCGAAAAAGCCGACCCCCCAGGCGCAGGCCCTGGCGGTAGAAATCCCTCATGATCTGATGACCTTCACCATAGATGCCTGTGGGGCGCAGGGCACACGTAACCAGGGGGAGTCCTCCTTGAACCTGATGGCAAAAGAAAGGAATCTTTCATATCTGCGGCGGCCTCATGGTCCCCTGCAGCCCTGGCCTCCTCAGGCTGGAGGGAGGAGGGGAGGGAACAAAGCCCGGGGGAGGCCAGGAAGCTCCAGCTCTGCCTCTGACTCACTCCTTATCTCTGTGCCTCATTTTCTCCAGTCTCACCTTCACTCCATTGGCTTCCAGAACCAGACGCTCTGCTAGGGCTTTGCTGCTGGGATAGGGATGTGAGTGTATGACTTCATACGAGGTGTCCTCATTGCCTCTAGTGAAGGAAACAGGAAGACTTAATGCTGAGGGGAAATGGAACCCTCAGAGTATGAGGGGGACCTCGGCTCACCTGTAGAAGGGGTGGCCTTTGGTGTTGGGTCCCACGACTTCCATGCTGCTTGTGTAGACCAGGAAGCGGGTTCCATTCCGCACACAGGCATCAATGACATTCTGCGTCCCTGCAGGGGTGGGGTGTGGCTAGGACTGAGGCACAGTTGTCCTCCCGTCCCATCTAGATGAGAACTCACAGTTCCTTCCCCAAGTCTGGGGAAAACCACAGGTCAGGTGAGGGCAGGGACTGCCATTATGAGGGACTGGGCTGTCACACACAGGATGAATTGTCACAGGGGATTCACAGGAGGTCAAGGCCAAAGAGGGTGGAGAGCAAATAGCCAGGACCAGGCCAACATGCCCAGGATTTGCCAGTGTGCTGAATAAGCAGGCAGGGCTGCTCACCCTGCACGTTGACTTCATGGATGGTCTCTGGGCTTGACCTCCCGAACACGTCCACCAAGCCAGCTGTGTGGATGACAACGTGAGCTCCAGCCACGGCTGCCTCCACTTCGTGGGCCTGGGTCACATCCCCCTGGATGGCAGTCACCTGCACAGGGCCTTGTGGGAGGTGGGGAAGGCCAGAGGCCCTGTCAGAGCTGGGCAGACGACCAGCTGCTGGGTCCAGCCTACGCCCTTGGGGAGCCCCATATTCCTGCTGTGACTCATTCATCCCTTTCCTTTCTGAGTGTACTGGAACATATAAACAGGCATCATCTTTTCCACCACAGGGATGGGGATACTGGCTTAGGAGGTGATGGGGCAGGGTCCCCGCCATTCCCCCACTCCTTGCATACACTCACCTGTCTTCAGCTCCTCCAGCCAAGGACTCAGGTGCAGGTCAAAGACCCTCAGCTCAGCGAGCCGGGGCTCCCGCTGCAGCAGCATCTGCACTACATGCTCCCCCAGGAAGCCGCAGCCACCAGTGACCAGATACACCAGCTCCCGGGCCTGTGTGCCGCCTGCCATGCTGGGCTGGGGGAAGAGGCCCTGGCTCATCTGCTGCCACCTGCCCCAGGACCTGCCCTTCTGGAAGGGGACTTGCTGCCCTGGGGGTTGGAGCACAGTGACCCAGGACCAGAGCTGTGGCTAGAGGTCATAGCTACCAGACCTCTTTGTCAGGTACAAAGTTACTGAGACAGGAGGGTGAGGGCTTTGGGTGCAGGAAAGGGCCCAGGTCGGGGTATATGGGTAGAGATACAAAAAGGTTGTAGAGGCTGGGAGCCAAGAAAGGCAGGAGGGAAGGTGCAGGAAAAGTGGGAAGAACTGTGCCAGGGAGAAGCAAGGGCCCTAGTGTCACTGCCTACCTGGAGCCACTGGGCCCGAGCACCTAAGTGGTCACTGCAGTCAGCCTTTGTCTGTGTGGTCTGGGTCAGTAGTCCAGCCACACACCTTCCTCCTTCCGCTAGCTCCTCCTCCTCCTCCCTCCTGGCCTATTCCAGGAACAGACCAAACGACCCAGTCTCCACCTCTCCTCATCCTAGTCTCACCAGGGGTGCCCCCTAGTGGTCACCAACCGTTCTTCTGGCTACTGGGCGCCGCTTAGTGGCCACTAGGCCATTCTGAGAGCTACTGGCAACGAGGTTCCAGCTAACAACTTGGAGAGCAGAGACTGAAAATCTGCTGAGGATGGGGGCTTCAGGATGGCGTTCTCAGGTGACTTCATCTCCATTCCATGACCTTAACTCTTCCTTTGTGCTGGACTTCCCAGGGGGCTTGAGGGCCTGCTGCAGCTGTGAGCCTGGAGAAGGAAGGCGGCCTGACCTTGGTGGCCCTAGCCGGACTCAGTGGGGACTTCTGGCATGGCCACTGCTGCCTGTCAGGTGGCCCAGAGAGCTGGTGGCTAGGTCTGAAGATGTGGACTCTTGCCCAAAAGGCCCTATACGCACCTCTTCAGCTTGCCCCACCCCATGTCCAAACCCCCCATTTTACCCCACTTCCTCCAAATATACTGACCAAGCACTTTTGTACAATAAAGTTTAATCACAATTATAAAAATGTGGCATCGGGTTTGCACTATTAACATATGTACAATCCAGCCCAACAAGGGCCTGCCTCCCACCACCCTGGCCAAGCCGGGGGCCTCGGACATCAAGGCAGAAGGGTGACCCGCAGGGTCTGGCAGGAACTGAAGATGAGGCAGGGTTCCAGGCACGGAGTCCCCACGACTAGGGGCATAGGGCCCCCCCGGGGGAGAACATAGCCACTGCCCCTAGAGACCCCTAAACTGGGGAGGGATACACGCAGGGAACGAAGGGAAGTCCCCGTTAACACAAAGCACGGGGGCTGTGTAGCTCCCCAAGAACAAGATCTGTACAGGCCGGCACCCCAGGTTTCCACAGGAAACAGCTGCTGGCAGCTACAAAACATTTACAGCTTCTTCTCCGCAAAGAAAATAATTGGGGTGGGGGGGTCAGGGATAACAAGTTATTGAGGCTCCCTGCTGGGCTCAGGGCCCCCCAGCCCCATACTTCAAGATGGAGGCGTGTGGGCCCTGACAAACCCACTAAGGCGAGGGGGCTGCTGGGGAGCTCAGGGCACCGTGGGAGAATAAATAGGGGTGTGGGCACCAGTGCTGCCCCATTTCAGTTGAGGGAGCCCCGGCAGCTCTCAGTGCCACACAAACAGGGGATCTTGTTGTCCTCCAGTGGGAACTTGTAGTCATAGGTGATCTCTTCATCCACACCGATGGGCTGCTTGGAATAAATGACGATCTTCTTCTGAGACTCGATGGTGATCACCTTGGCGTAACAGTTGGGCTGCGGAGGAGGCAAGGCAGGTGAGCTCCAGCCCAGCCCACTGCAACCAGCCCTCCCGGGCCCAGCCCAACCCACTGCTGCCAGCCCGGCCCAGCCCACCCCTGCGGCCTGCCTCCCAGCACACCGTGCAGCAGTGGTTGATGAACCGCGCCAAGTTGCCACATTTGGTAGCATCAATGATGGTGTCATGGTCCACTCGGAACAGGTAACTGCTGCCAATGCCCTCCTCCACATAGCGTTTCTCCCGCATGTCGGCCACCATCTGCAGGGTGGGATGCAATGGTCAGGAATCCGCCCTTCAACTTTCTGCTGCATTTAGCCTCACCCACGAGCTTGGGTTTGGACAGTCTACCTACCACCCCAGGACCTTCGCTGGCCTGGCCTGGCCTGGCCCTGGCCCCTCACAGCTCAAGCCAATGACCCTTCCTTGACCTTACTTCCAACAGTCCTCTGTCATGGCCACCCACCCTGAACCACCAGTAAGTGCTTCACTCAGACCAGGCTTCCCGGGAAGTCAGCACTGGTGAGCCAGGCAAGAGAAGTTAGAGCATCAGCCGGGCCCAGTGGAGCCCCCACACTGCTGTGGGGCTGGTGGCACTCCTAAAGTAACTGTCACTATCTTATGGACTGAAAGATACTCATTTCTTCTCCCAGGACTCTCTCTGGGCAAAACAGAAACCCATCTGCTGGCTCTAGTCAATGCAAAAGCCACTTGTCTGGGCCTTGTGTGAGGAGTAACTTTCATTTCCCAGAAAGCCAAGGCTGACGAGACCTCTGTGCACTCCCCATGGTGACCTCACTCCTGCCAAAACATCACCCTCAAGCCACACTAAGTGTTGGGGACTCCACCTAAACTTGCATCCTCAGCCCAAATCCACTACTGTGAACTGCTGGACGTCATCCCCCAGCTGTTCCCTGGGCATCTTGAGCTCACTTGTCCAGATCACAGCTCACTGGGGCCACAAAGCTGCTCCTCAGCCTTGCCCCCCCAACTTAGCCGCAGCCCTACTATGCCCTTCACTGCTAAAGTCATCCTGAAGTGCCCACCCCCACTCCGTGTCCTTACTCTCTCCACAGTTAACTCACTGACTAGTCTTATCAACATCCCTGGACCTACACTTTCTCCTGCCACTGCCAAGGCGAGGCAACTGTTGCTTTCGGCATGGGTTTCTGCAATTGTCCTCCCCTCCTCTGTCCACTCTCGGTTTTCTCAATCTCTGATTTATGCTCTACATTGCCGCCAGAAGAACTTATTACCCTCCAAAGTTGTGTGCTCTAATGCCTCTCTCCACCATAGGTCTAAAAACACAGCCAGCCGGCCTCTAAGCTCTTTGGAGTCAAGCCTCCACCAGTCTCTCCAGCTTCACATCGCTGCTACTGGCCCTGCATTTTTCCAACCACGCACGCCGACCTCCCTGCACTCTTAACTTCCAAGGCCTGTGCACCTCACCCCTCCGTGGCCCTCTGCACACCTCCCCTCACTGGAGCCAAGGAGTTCCCAATCCTTCAGCTATTGGCTTCAACAGCACCATCTCTGGGTGTTCTTGGGTCCCCTTGCTAAGCATTCCTACCACCTGCTTTCACCAGCAGTTCCCCTTAGCACTAATCAAACCCCAGCAGCCTGTGTCCTTACTCAATACCTCTCTTCCCCACAACTGTCAGTTTTTTTTGTAGGGAGAGATAATGGGGTTTTTTTCCCAACAGTATCATTAAAGTGTCTACTAGTGACTAGTATTAATTGTTGAATGAAGTAAAGAAAGAGAAAAGACAATGAGACAAAATTCCCTGACAGCTAAGTCTTGGAGCCAGGAGGCCATATGAGGCTCTGTCCAGGTCAAACGGTACTGGGTGGAAGCACAAGTGGTCTGCAGACAGAGGGCTGGGGTCTCACCTGGCGGATGTTCTGACCCACATATTCGATGACCATCTCATCAGCTGCGATGGGTTCCATGGCAAACAGGCCCCACTCGTGGATCCGGCTCCGGCCAAATCGGAGCTTCTTCTTCCGGAACTGGGGGTAGAGAACACACTGCTGCAGGACGCCCAGAGCCCAGCTCCTGGCTTTGCCAGCAGGTCTCTCCAGGAGAAGGGCAGTCAAGCCACTTGCCTCTCACCTGTACCCCCAAGGCCAAGGGGGGGCCACCTGATCCTACCTGGCCTTTCAATGGGTCTCCTCTCCCTCTCAATCCCTGCCAACTCACCTTGAGCTGGTTCAGCTTCAGCAGCTCACTATCCATGATGGCCGAGGTGCCAATGGCACTTAGCAACCGACGTTGCTCAGACCGGCGCTCCGAAAGCACACGGTTAGTCCCCTGTGTGAGCCAACAGAGCAGTGAGTGACAGCAATAACAGCGGCAAGAGGATGATCGTGGGCCTGCGACCGGGAAAGGGCCTCACCTGAGTGTCCGCTCCCTCCAGCTGCCGGGCCGAGACAGGACAGACATCCAGGTACTTGTCCTTCTCCTTCTTGCTGATGGGGTAATAGCCTTCGCTGCGGGCTGAGCCCGTCTGGTGCTCGCGGGGCCCATCCTGGGGCCGCCGTCTGCGCTTTGGAGTGTTCAGGTTGGTGAGTGCACGGCGTTAAGGAAAACACATTCCTTGCTGGCCTGACATTCCCGGAGCCCACTCCCCTCAGCCCACTGCAAACTCAGCCAAGGAAAGGGTGACCAACTTTAGCTTATGATTCTGAGCACAGCCAGTGTGAGAAAGATAGAAAGATGAAGAGAAAGCAGTCTTAGACTCCACTATCATTTGCCCAGAGAACTTTCAAGGAAAAAATAAATCCACAAAAGTTCATGAGGCAGAGAAAACGGTGGCTTGATTGCCAGAGGAAGAACACTCAGGCTGAGGGTGGCAAAGAACTGGACAGAGAAGGTGAGAAAGGCAGACGCTGGCCCGAGGAGGACATGGGCAGCTGTGTGACCCCAGGGGAATGCCCACCCACCCAGGCCTCCGTCCTCCTGTCCTGGGAAGACGGTCTCTCCCTCTCAGGATATTGGTGTGGTGGACCCAGTGCGTATCATTGAGCCAGTCGGCTCCACTTGTCTGCTGCAGCAGCCGCTCATATGTTAGCCGCAGATAGCTCATGTCCTCTAAGTCCAGGCCTGAGTTCCAAATGTCATACAGGATGGTCATCTGCTCAAACTCGCTGCGAGGCTCAAACGTGGGTGGGGGTGGGGGTGGCGGGGGTGGCGGCGGGGGCCGGCGGCGCCGGGTGTGGGAGCGGAGGCTGCGCCGTCGCAGGGCCCCTTCCCCGTCACTGCTGCTGCTACTGCTGCTCTCGGATGACTCAGACTCCTCCTCCTCCTCCTCCTCTTCACCCTCCTCTTGCTGTTGCTGCTGCTTTGGCTCCTCTGCCTCAGCCACCACTACCTCGGGGGCCTCCAGGACCTCATCGGCAGGGGAACTGAAGAGGGCCACGGGGGCAGGAGTCGGCTCTGGGGGCCGAAGGGCCAGCATGGCGGGGCTGGGCTTGGTGGCCAGGGCATAGTTGTGCTCCAGGAGGATGTGACTGAGTGGGGGGCCTGGGCGGTCTGCCTCGTCTGCCGTCTCAGTGGCCTCTGAGTCGTCAGCAGCAGGTGGGGCCGCCACCCCACTTAAGGCTGGGGTCAGGGCCAGGTCAGCCAGCACTGCCAGGTCCACCTCTGTTCCTGGCTCAGCCTCTTCTTCCTCAGCACAGCGACCTCGGCCTCCAGCCCGGTTCCGACTCCCTCGGGGCACCTCCTCGGGCCAACTCTTGACCAGAGACGCGTGGTCCAGGGGCAGGTTGCGAATGGTTCGCTCCACACCCCGGGGGACTTTGCGAGAGACTGGGGCAGGAGACTTGGCCTGGGGCGGGACAACTGGGGGAGGTTCAGGGGCTGGTGCCTCTTCCACGGTAGAGAAGGAGACAGTTTTCCGGCGTTTCTTGGGTGGAGGGAGGAAGGGGATCGGAGACGAAGGGCGCTCCTCAGGGCGTGGGGCAGGAGCGGGGGGTCCCGCTGGTGGTTCTGGGGGAGGCTGGGGTGCACTGGAAGGTGGTTCCTCAGTGGAAGCTGGGGAAGGACGCAAACAGAGAAAGAGAAGATCAGATTCCTACCCCAACAGCATCAGACTGAAACTCATTATGGGCAGGAGACACTATATCCGATCCATATCCGAGCTGCTATGCAACAGGTCAGACTCACGCTCTCCTCAGTTCTCACACAAGAAACTCAGGACAAACACTCTGCTTGCTCGGGGAGACCCTTTCTCTCACACCCGCAAAGCCCATTCCCCCGCCCTAAGCACCAGGGGATCCTCTGACAGGTGTGCACCTGCTCACTCATACCATCAACACGTATTTACTGAGCACCAACTATCAGCAGAGGGAGCTCTGGCAGCCTAGTGGTGAGGAGTTGTGCTACTCATACAGAGAGGAAGAAGGGCAATCTCCTCCCGGGCAATTTATAGTCTGAAAACCTGCTAAAGAGTCCGCTACACGTTGATTCCGACTGAACAGTACTAATAACTGTCATCGTGCCTAAGGAGACATAGGAAGTCCTTCAGACACCCTCACAGAGCTTCAAGTCTAACTGGAATTACACAAAACAGTCAAATTGTAAGAGCAGAGGTGGAAGAGGGTTCCAAGAAAAGAAATACTTCTCTACTCAAGTCTTTAGGCAAGACTCTGAGTCTAACTTATTTCCAGTCAATCAGAAGTGACTCATAGCTGAGCCCTCACTGGCTTTCCAAGGCTTTATTATAAAATGCGCAGGAGCGGACTGTCCCTCCTTCTGCCCTGGAGCTGCTGGTGGGTGTGTACTGCAGGAGGCAGGGCCTTTGGGTCGGCTGCCCAGCTCCTATCAGACCGCACCACCAGAGGTCCCTCCTGGACTGCTGCCACCGCAGTGGTACTGGTCAAGACTAGTGGTGGCAAAACAATTAAATCCAACAATTAATGAGTCAGTTAACAATTAAGCAGACCAGGAATACCTGTTGCATTTTCTAACAACAGTACATTGAAAGAAAATAGCCATTATTTCAGGTATAAACAATATTATTAGCTTCTTTAGGGAAGATACAATGTAAGAACTGGGATCTCTGTATTAAAATCTTCTTCCTTTAAAAAAAAAAAAAATCTTCTTCCTTCAAAGTGAGATTGGCCCTCACAGGGCTATGAGGAACCTGTGCGCAGAGAGATGCTGCTAAGATACAAAAAGTGAGGAATGAGGTGGGACAGAGACAATACATGGCCTCTAAGCCGACACAGGGGAGCCCAGGAGACCTACTGGCTAAAGTTGTGCTGCTAATCAAAAGTTAGGCGGTTCGAATCCACCATGGCTTCTTAGAGAAAGAAAGATGGACAGTCTCCCCAAGTATGATCTGGAGTCTCTGAAAACTCGCTGAAGTGCCAGCTATGGGTCAGGTCAGTTCTGACTCATCAGGCAATAAGCTAAGTTGAAGCAGACACAGTGTCTCCCCAGCTACCATCCTCCAGACAGGAAGCAAACTCCTCATTTGGGGACCCCAAGCATCAAGCTGACAGTAGGCTCTAACTACTGTTTAAGACACACACACACAGAGCCCTTTGCCAGGAACAAGCTACACCTGCTGAGCTGACCCTCAATCTCCATGTCAGGCCATGGCCTTTTCAGCTCTGCTGACACCGGGCATCTGCCGTCTATGCCTTCCACCCCTGGTCCACAGGGATGGCTCGTGGCAGCTTTCAGACCTCTGTGAAGCTTTTTCCTCACTCGCTGGGACATTTGTTCCTATCTCTCAGATTGACGGTTCTCAACTGCCAGTTTTCATGTTAGCTACAGCAAATAAACAGTTAATATTCTCTGCCAAGGACAAATCTAAGCCCTTTACATACATCACTTATTTCATTCTTATAACCTCATGAAGCTGATAGTATTCATTCCATTTTACTGATGAGTAAACTGAAGCACAGAGTGATTCATAATCTACTTACCTAAGATAATAGAGCAGGCATTTAACAAAATAAGACCAACTTTTGGATAGTCTGCATATTCTGCTTCAGGATTCCACGTCTGACTCTGTCACTCCTACAGCTAAAGGGCGGCCAGCACAGGGCCTGGTCCAGAACAGGTGGTGACCAGCATGTCTCCACTGCCCTAACTCCTCAATCCAATAACCCGACAAAACCCTCAGCCTGCAGGCTCCCTGTGCCCTGGATACCAGCTGGGGTCTTGGGCCATACTGACATCTACATGCTGAAGCAGCTGCTCCAGGGCCTTCATTTTTCACAGGTCCTCTTATCTCTTCTTACCACTCTGTTCTGCCCTAGCTTCCCTTACACCCAGCCTCCCAACCTAGTCCTCTGTAATCCTTGCTTTTGAGCATACAAATTTTTCTCCTTCTTCACCCTGAGGAAAACTCAGCCATCCCCTTTTTTGGGGTACCTGTCCAGTCAGCCCATCTTCCACCTTTCTCTAGAAATTTCTCCTGATATTCCTTTATCCACAACAGCAAGGCCTCAGAAGCCACTGTGACCTGCCCTCCCACCACAGGGCCATCCTTAACTGGACCACCTGAGCCACGTGGTCCATTAAGAAATTTCCTTGAGAAAATTTTCCAAAAAATTTTCCTTAGACTTAAGAGTGAATGATGTCTGTCTGTGGTTTGTGGGGGAGTAGGGAGCGGAGGTGTAGCGATGAATACCCTGTGCCGGACTGGGAGAACAGAGGAAGAGGGAAGACTGAATCTAGTGCATCTAGGTCCCTGGTTCTGGCTGTTCCTGGATTCCACCAGCTAGGTCGAAACTGTAACAAGTCTATGTAAACTGACTGAGCTAGGCTGCGATTACCAGAAGCCCAAGGAGCCTTCCATAAGGTCTCACTTATTCTGCCTTTGGAACTAGGTATGTGCCATCCTTAGCTGCCCTCCCAATCTCTCTCTAAGGCCATGTCTCCTATCCACATACTAGTCATTGATTTCGCTCCTTCATGCCTGTTATTCTCACCGAGGGACCTGGCTTAACCTTCCTCTTCCTTCCCACCCCGACATCTACCTGGGGAAATTCAGCCAACAGCCTACCTGTTCATCAGATTCTCACATCTCAGGGAACTCCTGTAATGACTCTCAGCTAGCCTCACAAATCACACACCTGGACCTTGTCAACCTCAGAATGGCCCACCCTTGGTCTTTCACATGCTTATCTCTTACCTGTGACCACATTCCTCACTGCTCCTTTAGAAGCCTGAAGCACAATGAACCTTTCCCATTTCCCAACCTCTTTGCCACATTCCTCCCTAAATGACTATTTTGTTCAGACTACAGAACCCTCACTTTGTCTTCTCCCTTCGGTATCCTCAAATCCTCATCCCTTCACCCTGCACATCCTCACTCTGCAACCAGTGGCATTCTCTCTTTCACCCTAAGTACCCAGTCTCAGTGAAGTTTCTGTATGACAGCAAGTCTAGCCTGCTTTCATCTTTACTCTTGACACCCCTCACTGTCCAGCAACACACTGTACTCTATTCTCAGAATGTATCCACCTTTACCACTAAACAGCAAAACAAGATCAAGATCCTGCATGAAATCCACACTTCGCTGCTTCCCCACTTACAGATTCGCATCCGACTGGGTGCTGATCCTGCCCCCAACCCCCCAGGTCAGTGAGCACTTCTCTCTCACGCTCCATCTACCTGTCTCTCTTCCTTCCCTTCAGTGTATAAACATAAGCATTTAAAGTCTCGCCCACCTAAAAAAGTCAAGTCCCCCACCAACCCTGCAGTCTCTTCTCAAACCCTGTAGACTGTAAGGGTTCTACCTCCAATCCCAGTTCCCCACTTTCCACCTATTTAGGCTGTTTCTGTATCTCATCAAATCTGGAATGGCAATAATCAGATACCTTGAAACACAACTGAGGAAAGGTATTTTCAACAGGGTAGACATAGAGTCTGGCACACAGTATTAATGACTAATTACTGCCCCTCAACTCTTTCCTTTCAAGCAAGAGGAGTCTAGCCTTTAAGAAGACGCTTATCTCTGTTTTTATCACCACCTTACTTTTCACACCCACAACATGGCTTTAGTCTAAAATACAATACTCAACTGAAAATTTAAAGGCTACCAGTGATCTCTTACTCTTATAACTTCTCTTATGGCCTGCTATCAGCCCATTATCTCCTTTTACTTATTTTATTTTCAAAAATTTCTTGTTGTGTACCATCAAATTGGATCCAAGCTGGCACAAGAGGAGATTGTCCCTCTTTCTCCAGCAGAGCATCTGGTGGATTTGAACTGTGCACCTTCAGGACTGCAGCGCAGCTTCTTGTCACTAGGCCACCAGAGCTCCCTCCACTATCTCCTTTTAAAAACTTTTCCCGTGATGTCCACAACACCGTTTCCAAACACTGCTTTCCTTCCATCTATCTGGTTCCTTCTCAGCCCTCTGTGAACCCCTTTTGCCCACCTATCTCTTACAGGACTTTAAGGCACAGATTCCCCTCTCATCCCATACTCTCCTAAGGCATACAAGTATATCCAAACCCACTCTTTCACTACTCCCAAATAACGACCTCATTTCCAGCCTATGTTTTTCTTCCAGATCTTAAATCTAGTCTTCCAACTGCCTACTAAATGTTTCTAGTTAAAAATCACAGAAGTGCCTGAAACGAACAGCTTTCTTGCTAATCCTTGCTCTCCTCCTTGCATCTCTTTCTTGAGAAACAGTTCAGCCAAGTTATTCTATTTTGTAAATTTCTCTCCAGTCTTCATTCCTGTCTACTCCTCTGTACTTTGTTGTGACCATTTAAAGGTGAAGGGGACCACCTTCTGCATGTATACAGCGAGCCCCAAGTATGTCTCTGTAAACTGTTCGTGGGAGAACTGCCTGCCTGTGTCAGATTTCGAGGGCAGAGTGACAGTGACTTCTGTGCTATCATCCCTACAACTCAAAGTCACACACCTGTACCAAATAAATGTTGATGTCACTGTTCCCTCTCAGACACACAGATGACATGGAAAGCCCTGCACCTACCTGCAGGTCTCGTCGGAGACTTCTCCTGTTCGGGAAGCGGTGTGACTGGGGAGCCTGCAGCTCTCTCTGGCTTGGGCTCTTCTGCAGGTGCAGGGAGCGGTGCTGGGACTTCTCTAGGGGGTGGTGAGGCTGACGATTTGGTTGCCGGTTGCTCTTCTTCCTCCTCCTCTTCCGAGGACTCGGATGATGAGGAAGAGGAGGATGACGAGGATGATGAGGAAGAGGATGAGGAAGATGAGGAGCTGGATGAGCTGCCACTCTCAGAGTCCGATGGGCTATCATTTTCACCATCTGAGTCAGCATACAGAGAACATTTGGAGGACAAATCGCTTTCCTCATCCTCGCCTGAAAATCCAGAAGGAGCAATCAGGCGAGGTGGGAAGACCTCTCACTTGGTCAAGCTTATTCACAGACTTATTATGGATGTGTCAGGTAACTACCAGGCTAGGCATTGAACAGTCCAATATAAATGAGGCAGAAGCCCTACCTTCAAGGTGCTGCGTGTACAATCTGTTCACAGTCTGATAAACATCAGCATCAACGGGCAGGGGGGCAGGGAGACCCTAAATTCTATCTAGAGGACTGAGTCAGGGAAGGAACACCGGAGAAAGAAATGCTGAAACTGAGAAGCCACAGGCTAGAGGCCACCAAGCAGACACAGCTAAGCAGGGATAGCAAAGGTAAGCAGATGTGAGAAGACGGCCATTAGACACTGGCTAAGGTACTCTCACTATGCCAAGTCTCCCCAAAACAGTGTGGACAACAGACTGTGTGAGAAAGGATTCCAGAGTGAGAAAGTTTTCCTTGTTGGGTTCCGTTGAGTCGGCTCTGACACATAGTATTTCTTTATTTTATTATTTTTTTGTGTGTGTATACCGTCAAATCAGATCTGACTGGTACAGGAGGAGATTGTTCCTCCTGCTCCAGCAGAGCTTCTAGTGGATTTGAACCATGCACCTCTGGGATTGCAGTACACCTTCTTGCCACTAGGCCACCAGAGCTCACAACACACAGTATTTCTATATAAAGAGATTAACAGTCTCACTCCCTCCTGCACCATCCTCCACTGTGCTTACACCTCCTGCCATAGTCATGGCATAATCCATCTCACTGACCTTCTGCCTTTCATTTCAGTGCCTTCCAACCTGAGGGCTTCATCTTCTGGTCAATGTCCTGCCGCTATTCAAAGGGTTTGGAGGGCCCATTATTTCAGAAAAAGGATGGCCAGTCCTGCTTCTTAGTCTGGAAGCACTGATGAATCTTGCCCACTATGGGTGACCCTACTGGTGTCTGAAATACCAGTGGCATAATTTCCAGCATCAGAGCAACATGCCAAGCCACTATTCAATGACAAACTAACTGATAAGGAGCAGGAGAGAAGTTTAGAAAATAATACAACCTAGCTTAATTCAGCTTCTTCCAAATTTGTTTGCTCAAGGAATAAACGGTGCCATCTTTGAGTAACTTACTTGGATACGAGAAGGTGGTAGTGGCCAGAGCGGGCTAGAGGATAGCAAGATGGACAGGAACAGATAAGAGAAGGGCTAGATTAAAAATGGGCAGAGTATAAGACCAGACTAGGAAGCCTTCTTTGTGAACAACAGAGAGCCAGGACTAGACTTGAAGGAGAGAAGTAACAGTGCTAGAGGTACATTTTAGGAAAGATAATGCTGTCAATCGAGTTAAAGATGGAGGGGGAAGGATGGAGCAGGGACAGAAAGGTCAGTATAGACCGCTGCAGAAATCTAAGTGAGAAGTGAAGAAAGTATAAATGAAGGCAGAAAAGCAGGAACAAAAAAGAGACAAACTCAAGAAATATTTAGGATGTAAGAGTGATGGGACCAAGTAGATGCATAAGGGTCTTAAGCCCAATCACTCTTCCGCAGATGACCTTCCCCACTGCTTCAATGATACAAGGAGACTCAGAGCATCCTTTCACCACCTGGCCTTGCTGAAATGGCCCTCGCTGACCATCCTACAGAAAAGGACCCATGATCCCGCTAACTCCTCTGCTCTATCACTCACAACCTCGGTAAACTATTTTCTTCAAAGCGTGTACTAATACCTGAAGTGATACCTGTTCTCTTCTTTCTCATGTCCCTCCCTCCTCATCAAATAACCACAAACTACAAAAGGGGAGTCACACCTGCTTGGTCACAATGATTCTAAGACTTAGAGTAACTAACACAGAGTAAGGATTTATTTCTGGACAAATGGATGAAAAAAAGACAGATCCACATACTCAACACCTCAGGGAATGGGAAAGAACAAACAGGTGCTCAATAAAAGGAGCCAACAGTCAAGCAACAAATGCTGGCGAGGTTGTAGAGAAACTGGAACCCTTATTCACTGTTGGTGGAGTGTAAAACGGTGCAACCACTGTGGAAGGTAGTATGGCGCTTTCTCAAAAAAGTGCAAATAGAGATACCATTTGATACAGAAATTCCACTACTGGGAATATACCCTGAAGAGACCATAACTGCCACCCTAGCAGATATATGCACACCCATGTTTATCGCGGCTCTGTTCACAATAGCAAGGAGTTGGAAACAACCCAGGTGCCCATCAACAAACGAATGGATAGAGAAGCTGTGGTATATTCACACAATGGAATACTATGCTTCATTGAAAAACAAGGAACTCATGCAATATTATTCAAAATGGGTGAGCCTGGAGGACATTATGCTGAGTGAAATATCTCAGTCGCAAATGGACAAATATTGCATGGTGCCACTGTTGTAAAATGGGATTGATATTAGGGTTGGGGTAAGACTGAGAAAAAATGGATAAATTGTGTATACTACACTGAAACAGATGAGGGAGTGAATAATTTAAAAGCGATGTATGATACGGTATTATGGTTATCACAAGAGTCCACAATTAAGGTTGCATAGTGGAATGTACTTGGGGCGGGGGGGGGGGGGGAAGAGAGCTGGGTGGGGAGAGAAGTGCAGCAATGAATAAATGGAAATCCAAAATCTCTGTAAATGCTCATTAAAATTGTTTTTTAAGAAAAAAAAAGGAGCCAACAGTGTTGATGTTGGCTGAGGGTGAGTGGAGAGGAGGCAAAGATGACTGGTGTGGACTTGAAAGAAGAGGGTGTGAAGGTGAGAGGTGACAGTGTCAGTGTGACAGCTTCAAGGGGCAGTAGAAGAACACAGATCCCTGACCGCTAAGGCTCAAGGAAATAAATGGCCTCTGCTAGATTTCCTCAAGGGAAAACCATATTTTAATGGAAGAGGCAATCAGGAGGGAGCACTATGGATAGTGGGCTCACTGTTCACAATCAGTCAAGGTTCCAAAGAAATGTGGTTAAAAGACATCTGCTCTTATTAGCGTACATTCACATTGGTGGTACATTATGCAGCATACAGGAGCAATGATTTAAAAAATCACTACCTAACTGAATAGATGCTGGAGAGCGTTGTGGTAAGTTATGTTCCATAAGAACATTATGATAACTCGGTCCCATAAGGACAAATACTATAAAAGACCATTATTGTAGAAATAGAAAGGTAACTAGTAAAATGTGTATGCAGATTCAAAGGAAGTGGAGTAAAAGCAGGAAGGTGAGGATGGACACGGGGTCCTGAACCATAGGGTTGCACAATTTGATGAGTGGAGGGAGGCACAGATAAAGGGAAAATCCAGTGCGAAAAACAACGTGTATAAATTTTGTTAAGTAAACCAGTATAAAATAAAAATTTTATTTAAAAAAAAAAGATATCTGCTCTTGAAGAGGGCAAGACAGATAATAAATGCAGCAGGAAAATCACCTAGGCTCAGGAAAGGGCTAGGCAGTGGCCTCTTGCCTTCCTCCCAAAGCTAGAATTTTTCAACCACCTGTACTCACCATCTGATCCCTCTATCTCCTTCTTAGTGTTGTCCATGGCTTCTTCTTGATCATCGTCTTCCTCGTCTTCCTCATCTTCCTCTTCATCCTTAAAGGAAAAGGACAAATGAGGACAAAGGGAAAGAAGCAACTGGCCCTCCCAGAGGTGCAGCAGCCTGGAGAGAAGCTGGCTAGAAAAGGAACTCGGGAATGGCCTGTTGGTAGAAAGGAGCCCTGGCCCCTCACCTTCTCTGATGAAGATTCCTGGGACGCCTCTTCCCCTTCACTGTCCAGAGCAAAGGACTTCCGGTGCTTGCCCTGAGTCTTGCTGCGCTCCTCATCTCGCTTTGTGGGCTTGGCTCCTGGACGTCCTGACTCGCCAGTCTCCTTTTCTCGTTCAGGGTCTAAGCCCAGGTGAACAATGATTAGGGCAACTTAACATCAACAACAGTTCCCTGACTTCACATAAGAAGCTTTATGTATACAACTGCCAAAGTTTCTGAGAAAAATGGCTTAACAAATAAACACCTCTTACTTAGGTAACATTTTACATGGCTTTCCACATCTCCTATTCATCTACAGTCTTTTCTTGGAGAATAAAGGACAGAATGACTTGTAATATTAGGCTTATGAAAACAGTATCCGACTAGTGGGTCTCCAGGGAAGCAGATCTAACTCAACAGAAGTTTTCCAGCCTGTACGCTGTCAACCAATAGCTCAGACCAAGACATATAGGCAGGAAACTTATAGGAAGGTTTAAGCATCACAATATCAAGCTGGGTAAATGATATGTTCTAAAAATTTAAAATTCTATGATGTTAGATGTTATTACAAATTACCACAACTATCTATCTCACAGGTGAAAATACTTGAGATACAGAGAACTGAAGTCTGTATACAACAGCAAGAACCACAATGAAAAACCCGGGGTAACTCTAGTTGATGGTTTCTTGCCATTCACAACTGCTTTATTTTACATTTATTAAAATCTTCTCTTGGCTCCAAGACACCTTATGTCCCTGCCTTTTTTATACTGGAATCTACACAACCTGTCCCCTTCCTCCTTTTACCTGCCCTTTCACTTACCATCCTCATCCTCTTCCACAGGGGTGGAGAGTCGAGGCCTTTTCTCCTCGCTAGCTTCTGAAATTTCGGATGGTTCTTTCCGTTTTACCTGGAGTATGAGGATCAGACAAGGCCCATTTCAAACTCTCATGGTTCTCGACAAGCCTGAGTCCAAGGAAGGGAACCCTTAACTTTTTCCCCACCCCACTGAGCAAGGCAGTTTTGGGTACCTTGAAGGAAGGTAGCCGCAAGGCCCCTCGTAGTCCTGAACCAAAGGCAAACGCCTCGATGCCTGTGGCACCACCACTCTTGGCCCAGTCTACGAGGGACAGCAGACCTGGCTCCTTAAGCTTCATCTTCTCTTTCTCCTCCTCCTTGGCTTGCTGTTTGGCTGCGTTCTGGAATGGCTAGAAGCAGCAGAGGAACTGAACTCCAGAACTCAGGTGCTCCCTCCTACCTGAGAGCTATTTCCAGGCCACAAGAATACATACATTTGTCTACTTATTTATTTAACATCCCACGTCCCCTCGTACTAGTCCCCATACTAGTATCTTTTCATGTCTGCTCATTTGGTCTGTCAACCTTATGAAACAACCATTACTACCACTTTACAAGTATGGACGCTAATGACTGAAGCCTCGCAAGATTCAAAGGCCCTGAATGGGTGGCCGGGGTTGGGGGGGAGTTAATCAAGACCAAACTCTGTGACCCTCAGGTTTGTGCTTTCTCCCACTGAACCCCATGGCTCCATCTCCCAACCCCCTGGGAAGGCTCATGGGCTCTAGCTGGTTTGGTCTTAATCACCTGTATCTTGTTCTGTGCAGTATGGAGCTGAAGGTTTGTGTCCGCCCCGCCCCATGGAGCCCTGGTTTCCTTGGTCCCAGGTGTGGGTCTCACCTTGGCCTTCTCCTCCTTGCTCTCCCACCACTGGTCAAAGGCTCCAAAGGCCACGTTCTCCACCATCTTGCGATTGAGGTCACGCTGCATGATGCTCTTCATCTCCTGGACCAGGGTGGCCAGGACACGGCCCACAGTGCCTGCTGACTGCAAGGTCTTGCTCTCTGCCAGCTCTGCTTCCTCCCTGGGAGGCAGCCGGGCCTCCTCTCCTGAGACTGAGGAGGAGGGCACGGGCTCGGCCGCCATAGGCAAAGTCAGGTGGTAGGCCTCCCGGGAGTACGCCCCTCGGCCCTCTTGCCCTTGGGTATACAGAGCATAGGGCAGGCCATAAGCTGCCTCTTGGGGAGGTGCAAACGGTAAGAAGGCCTCCCCAAAGGCCCCACCAGGGGGACCAGCAGAGGCTGCAGTCAATCCCTTGCCCTGTCGCAGCTGGTGGAGCCGGGTCAACATCTGGGTCTGCATCTGGAAGGACATGGGCATCCCGCCCCACTGAGCCCCAAGTCGATCCATCAGCTCCAGGGAGTTCACAAAGTCATAGATGTGGGGTGGTGGTGGAGGAGGAGGTGGGGGGTATTCAGGGGGCGGCGGACCATCAGGCCGGGGTGGGAGGAGGTAGGTAGGTTGGTGGGGAGGATATCCAAGGGGAAGTGAAGCCAGGTAAGGAGGAGGAGGGGGCGGGGGTGGAGGAGGGGGTGGAGGCTGCTGTGGCGGTGTTGGGGCCGGAGGGGGCGAGCCACCCCTATCATCATCAGAGATCTCCATGTCCTCTCCAGAAGAGCAGGGAGAAGCCTGGGGAGGGGAGAGGGTTATAGAAAAAAGTCACAGAAAGTTCCAGACTATCCCACTGACTTATTGGCTATATCGTTACTGTGTCTGATCCCTTTCCCTCCCATCCTATCTCCCAGGTCCCAGGTCCCTCCACTGACTGATCCAAGCCTTACCTGGCTCTGTCCGTTGGCCTTGGGGGACTCCCTGGTAGCCCCTGGTTCCCCACTCCCTGCAGGTGCCACATCCTCAAAGTTAGCTGGGGCTGGAGGGGGTGTGCAGGGCCCGTGACCTGACCCAGAAGGCACCTCACTCCCTGTGTCTCTAGCCCCAGTGCCCGTGCTGGTGTTCTCCTCCTCCTCCTCTGTGTCAGAGGCCAGGAAAGAAAACTTGGAGCGCTGCTCCTTCAGCAGCATCTCAATGCGGGAATCCAGGCTGGTGTGATGAGCGAAGGGCACACTCTCATTGGTAGTCTCCGGAGCGGGAGAGCCAGAACGGGCCGGCGAGGGTGGATGCGAGGAGGTCCGGGCTTCTTCTCTCTCGGGGCTGGGACCCCCGCCATCCCCACCTCCACCAGGTTCTGGAGGCTCTGGAGGTGGAGCCTCTGAGGCAGGAGGCCGGTAGTCCTGGTCAGTGGGCCGGCTGGGCTCAGGGGGCAAGTAGGAGGTGTAGGAAGGTGGGAAGCGCTCAGCTGTGTTTTCAGCAAAAGGGGCCCCAGGAGGCTCCTCCCGAGGTGCCCGGCGGGGTGGGTAGGAAGCATGGCGCTGGTAGCGACTCCAGCTTTCGTAATATGCTGGATAGTTTGAGTCAGAACCTCGAAAATGAGAAGACGAGGAAGAAGAGGACGAGGAGGATGAGGACAATGAAGAAGATGAGGAGGATGTGGCGGTGGCTGCAGTGGTGGCGGAGATGGCCGCAGAGGTGGTGGTGGGGGCTGAGGAAGCAGAGAAATGGCGGCGGGAAAAGGAATCCTGGTAGCTGTTCTCTGATCGCCGGGGCTTGAAGGAGGTGGAAGTAGTGCTGGAGAAAAAGGGGGAGAGTTAGCTGGACCCGTCTCTGCAGGACTAAACTGGGAGTCCCAGCCCTTTGTACCCAGCCCATCGATAGAGGCCGTTCTTCAAAAAGGACAATCTCAGTGCTACTGGGCTCCTGAGCAACAGCGAATTCCCCAAGGGCTGAATCCAGAGAAACCAGGAAAAAGTACTCCCAACTCCCTTTCGGAGACTGTGGGTTTTTTCTTTCCAGTGGCAGTTCCCAGAATCTGCTGGCCCTGGATGTCTGCTCTGTACCTGCTGGAGTAGGCAGAGTCCTGAGAATAGGGAGTGCTGCCCCGAGACGTGTAAGGTGTTCCTTGCGAGGACTGAGGGGTAAACTGGCCAAAAGAAGATGGGGTGTCCTGTCGGCTGCTGGAGAAGCTTGTGTCCTGGGAACAGGGGGTGCCATTGCCAGGGGTGCCCACCACAGCGGTGCCTGCTGGATAGGGAGCTGTGTCGGAAGAGGATCGGCGGCGGGATTCAGTCTGCAGGGAGGGTAAGACAGAGGAAGGAAGAGAGCTCAATTACCACTTGAGGATTCCCCTTCTGCAAAGCAAGACTTCTTGGTTCCCATCTTTTAAAAGCTCCTGCACTCAGCTCTTAATGAAAAGGCTGAGGGTCTGGGTTCGCTTGGAGGCACCTTGGAAGAAAGGTTCGACGATCTATAAATCTACAAATTATAGATCTATAAATCCCCATGGGGCAGAAGGCAGTTACCATGACCCCTGGGGTTGTCTCAAGTCAGAATCAACATGGTGACAAGTGGCTTAATTTTTTAAAACACATCCAATATCTTCTCTTGGCTTTCCTATACCTAGCATGGAAGTCCAGAGCCTCCCAAAGGCTGCACCTACTACTCCAGAAATCCAGATCCACACCCACACGGCTGGGACAACAGCCCCAAGCTTCTCACCGTCTCAGCAGCTGTACTGGAACCCTGAAACTTCTCACTCAGGGCCTTGCCCCCGGTGGGCACTGTCTGCGGAGTGTAGGAGCCGTTGACAATCAGTTCATAGTACTTCATTCGCTGTTGTCCTAGAGGGAGGGCAATGGGAATCAACAGGTTCAAGAGAAGAAAATAACTGTTTCCTAGTTTAGTACTCCTAGTTCTTTCTCTGATCTCAAGCTTCATAAGATTTCTTGCAGCTAAGGATTTCTTTTGGGCTTCAGTGCTATTTTTATCTCTATCCTTAAAAATCTTGGTATTCTCCCTTAATAATGACTAAAAACACACTACCCAACACTCCACAATTTACAAAAAAACACATCTACACAGGTTATCATTTTGACTGATCACCAGCGAGAGACCCATCTTAGAAGTTTAAAAGAAAAATGATTTGCATAAAGTCACAAAGTTGGTTGGTAGTAGAACCAGAATTCAAATCCAGGTCATCTCATGATAAACTCGCCATGTTCTTAATGATCTGCAAAAGCTAAAATCCAATCCACAGTTGTGTTATTTGACTTAACAAATGATTTAAATATTTGAGAGTCAGTAATTTCAAACTGACACATTTAGATTTGGGTTTTTGCTTAAAGTCCGATTACTTGGCAGTGAAAGTCCGCATTTCCACTGAAAACCAACCAACTAATGCTAATTCACAGCTGCCTCCTTTAACTATAGAGCTCTGATGGCACAGTGTACATACCACGTGTCAGACGACTTGGTTAATCATCAGTGTGCACTTACCTGCTGCTCGAAGGAAGATGGGTCATCTCCCATAAAGATTTACAGTCTCAGAAACCTCAGGGAAGGTCACTATGAGTCCAAATTGATTTGACAGCAGTGGCTCTGCCTTTAGATGGCACTGCAACCTACAGCCTGCCAGTCTCCACCCTCCTATTGATCCTTAACGCAGAAGCTCAGACTGCCTCTCTCATATTGCCATCTAAAACTCAAAACCCAACAAATGGAAAACCCAGTATTTTTAGGAATGTGATGTGAAAACCTGACTTACGACTATTTTATAGTCTTTTTTTTAGTATGACCTTTTCATGGTTGTCCTTACTGATACAGACATGCACTTGACTACAGAGAGCTGCCTTAGATACCACTCAAAGTAACAAGCACAGTCATACATAAGACTCCATAATTACTTTCAGAAATTCAAAAACTTATTTTATAAATACACCTGGCCCAAGAGTTTCAGATAAGGAACCAAACCATTTGCCTGGCCTCAACAAGCATTTTTGTCTACACAATCTCTGTTGGAGACGGATTTTAGGCAGCAGGCAGGAGAGGCCTTACCTTTGATGTCAAGCTGGGCATGGATGATGTTGCCCATGACGGAAGTAAGGTGGAGATTTTTGACAGTCTCCTTGGCTCCCCGAGTGCTGGTGAAGAGCACACGGGCCAGGCCCAGGTGCTTGCGAGTGCGAGGGTGAAGAAGGATCTCCACCTCCTCCACTTCGCCATACTTTCGGCACATGTCCTTCAGGAAGGTCTCACGCACGTTGTCATTCAGCCTTGCAAAGGTCACTTCCTTCAACGGGATCTGTCCAATATAGAACTCATCCAGCTGTGGAGAGGACAGGAGTTGGTCTGTGGTTGAAATACTGGCCACTGTTCCTTTGCCCTTGGGGAAACTTTAGCAAGATCCATGAGGTCAAGAGAGATGGGACTGGGAAACTAAGGGATGAGGGAGAAAAACCAGGAAAGGGGCCAGAGTAAGGGTTTACATCAGTCTTAATCCTCTTTTATTACCCTTGAATTTTTCCCACCACAAAATAATGGCCAAATCAAGATAAGAAATGTCTAAATCAAGAAAAAAAAGCATATTTGTTTTTTCCCAGTCATAGAGAAATAAACCATTTACTCAAGACTTTGCAAAGTGACTTGAAGTCTATCCTGACGGTGCTTTGCCTATATACTCCCATTACTGGAAATATCTCAAAAAGAGTAACTGTGTGCTTCTCTTCTCATCACAGAAACACTTGCTGGATCCACGAGAAGGAATTAGAAATTTGTTGGAAGCATGCAAAATCCAATAGTTATCTTTTCCCCCTGATCTTAGGAACCTGGACATACTAATCTTAAAGATCTGTTTTCTTGGCCATGAACAGGATTTCAACTCATGGTCCTGAGCTAACTACTTTAAAGACATTCTAAGCGTCAAATATTTGAAGCTTATTATCAGTAGACAAATTAAAGCAGCCTGACTAAAGAAAATATGGCAAAGTCTTCAAGATCTGGCGTGGTTAGAGGCTATAATCACAATCAAGCAAAAATCCCTAGAAAAGATAACACTTCTACACTGACAGCAGAGTAGTGTATTACAAGTTCTTTTAAAACAGGCTATCCTGAAGATGAATCATGGTAGAAGCTTTGGAGAAACCAAGGTGGACCTGATGAACAGCGGAATGAAAGAAAGTAAAACTTACTAACGTTAAACTATACTGACATAATATATTGCAGTTAAAAAAAATAAAAAGACTTTACTAAGTGATTTATATTAATTACTTAGATACTGAGAATGCAAAGAAAAGGGGGAAAGTCTAGTGTTAAGGAGCTGCGCTGCCAACCCGCAGGCACTCAGTTTAAATCTACCAGCTGCTCTGTGGGAAAAAAAGATGGGCAATCTCCTCCGATTTACTGACTCTGAAAACCTACTGGAGCACTGGGTCAACTCCGACTCAATGGTGCATGACAAGATCCAGGAAAACAAGCAAGATGGATAGACACACACAATCAGCACATGATGCAACAAGTGTCAGCAGAGTACTTGGACAGAAAAAAAAACCTTTTTGTTTACTTTAGAGTCACAGAAAGAGTTATAAAGACAGTAGACTTGTACTGGGTTTTTTTTTTAGACAAATGTTTGTCTACTAGGACTTCTAAGGCATGAAATACAATAACTTGTCCTTTTCTAGAAACTGTAAGCATCTAGCAAAAATGGAGCACAGGTCTGCGGCGTGATGGAAGGAGAAGAGGTGAGACCAGTACAATAACCGTATGAGCCAAAATCTAAACACTTGGCCTTGGCAATGAAAGTAAAGTAGGAAAACAGCAAAATCAAAGAGCTAAATCACAGTAGAACAGATCACTTACAGAAGGACAGAATAAAGACAAGGAAATCTGGTGAATTCAGAAGGAGGGGTTTCCATTAAAAAACAGCCAGGACAATAAAACAGAAAGGGGAGTCGTTTTAGTATAAATAACAGGAGATCCACAGGATGACTAGTGGATTTTCAGCTTAGTAGACAGTATTATCAATTACTGGAAGAGGAAAAATGGAAGGAATCTCTTTTTTTTTCGCTTTTTCTGCTGAGAGTATGCGGTTAAGATTTGGGTTCATCCCTATCCTTCCAGGGAGTTCTTTCCTCTCTTTACCTCTTCTTTCTTTTTCACGTTAACTCTTTTGCATGGCTTATCTTTCACTAGCTATGCCTCTGTCTTATTTCCGTAATAAACCTTTCTTACTTGTTTCACTAAATTGTCACTGTGTGTTTGTTGGTTCATTTAACTCCAGTCACCTCAACTCAACCCCATCAGGAAAATAGTAATGAGTAGTGAAGAGATCAAAAGAACTCTGGTTTTTAACACATTTTTTTTAAAAAGAAAGAAAACTGGAAGAAAAAACAGGACTGAGAAGGTAATGTATTTTAAATCTTGAGTTTGAAGTGCTTGTGGGGGCCTCCAGATGGAGCTGTCCCTCAAGCAGATATACAAATCTTGAGGTCAAGACATGATGATCATGGCTGAAGAGATTTAGAAGTCATCAACGTCCCAGTATTGGCCAAAGTCATGAAGGAAATTGCCACAGCAAAGCGTGCAAAGTAAAAGAAGGGTGAAAATATTTTAAATTACTTAAAAGGGTGGTGCGAGGCGGTTGGGGTTAGAATTAATGAAGAAAACAAAGTAGAGCATTTTCTAGGCCCAGTCCAAGATCTGATGAGTGTGCTGTCCTTGACAGGAAAGTTGAGAGTCCTCTAAGAAAACAAGACAGAAGAGCAAATGGCCAAATAAGAGATGGGAAACAGAGGACTCAGAGAGGCAATGAACGTGTCACTTGCCATAGCTGTTCAGAAACGGGGTTACCCAACCAGGACACTATCAAACAATGGACTTTCCAGGCAAACTATTTAAGTATGGTGGCCACTTCAAGAATCCAACACCTCTACCACCAGCGGATGCTTCCCGTACACCTTTCTAGAAAAGCAGCATACTTCCTATGCTGGATAATCCAGCACCACAGTCTCAGTATCAAAGAGGTTGTCAGAGCTGATCATAACCCTTTCACTAGCAAACCTCTTTACTAAGTCTAGACCATCAGAATATATTCTTTACACCAAGAGACCAGCAGACACATACCTTAAATTTAGGGACCGGGAGGGAAAAGTCTCTGGTTTTGGACCTGACGTGGCAACGAGGATCTTGAAGGTCTTCAACTGGAATATACTTTGAATCCTAGGAAGGAGAGTTAAGAACAGAAAGGAGGCTCAGCATGAAAACAGGTAAGTGACCTCTAGGAAGCCCATCTAAGACCAACATGCAAAAGAACTAGATTCTGATTGTCTGCTTTTCAGAAAGGAAACTGCAGGTGATAGCAGTTCTGGATGAGAGGCAGAAGTAACGGAGAGGAGGCTGGACAGCGCTCCCCAGATGGCCAGGGGAGGCCCGGGATACTCACATTGACACTGAAGTGAATCCCATCATAGCGATACACCTTCTGGGAAGGCCGGCGCAACGCAGGGTCCAAGGCAGGATCCACGATGAGCTTGTAGTTCCGCCACTGGAAGCTCGGGGCCTTCTGCCCATCTCCCCCACCCTCCTGATCCATCTCTGCTCATTTACACTGTCAGGAAGGAGGAAGAGGCAAGGGGGTTCAGGACTTAGCCCTGACTCCCTTGCTGTCCCTCATCAACTAGCCCAGACTCCAGTTTCCCGAGTCACCCACTTCCACGCCTCACCAGGACTCGTGGCTCCCCCAGACAGCCCTTCAGGTAGCCTGTCTCGCCACAACATCCCATTCTCTGTTCACCTCCCAACTCTCCCCTCCGGCCCCCAGGCCCATCTCGCGCCCCCTTCCCTTCCAGCTCTCCCGAGCGCGCGCCCCACTTGGCTTCGGCACAAGACCCC